CTCTCAGACGTGACTTATTGGATAAAATGTGGTCGGCGAGGTAAACCAAAAGTGGTGCATGCCAACAGGCTTTGATGTTATCACAGTCCAGGACATTTCAGTTGGGATGAAGCGGACAACAGAACAAATGACGCTGCTGAAGACGTGCCACCTGAAGAAGCCACCGTCGAAGAAGAAACTCTACTCAGCTTTGAGAAGGGAAACGATGAAGCTCTTGATGAAGTTACTACCACTGATGTGACTGTTACCGATGATAGGACATTTATTGATGAAGCAGATGAACCCCACATGAAGCAGAAGCCAAACGAGATGGAGACCAGTACGGAAGAAGATACGTCCCGTAAAATTAAGAGACTTTGTTGAATTGTAATTTTGTGTTTGTAATTCTGTACAGTTAATTAAGTTATTGTTTATTGTTATTGGTTTATTGTATGTGGTTATTGTTCGGGACGAACAATATTAAGGAGGGGGCAGTGTTGTGGGCGCCACACCAGTCACGTGACCTCGATGACAAGATAGTTCTAGAAAATAGACAACAATCGCGCTAAACAAACGCTATAGCAACGAACGTCAATAATACTCCGACCGCAGATCAATTACTCACTATCTACACACATATTACATTACCTTCCCGCGTCACGTTTTCCCCATCTTATATATATCCGCCTACCCCATCTAGCAAATACTAAGATTTTCCGTAACTTCGTACCGACGAAACTTAAGCGACACAAGCCTTTACTTAATAAAACTGGTTTATTCTTTCCGAATATAACTTAACCGATACACTTAACTTTTGTTACGTCTCCGTTTTTTAATTTATATTGTTTATATACTGTTACAGTTTTGAGTAGTATATTCAATATTGTTGCGTCAGCGAGGTCACGTGACTAGTGTCACGCCACGTTTCTAGAACTATCTTGTTCCTTCGTGAATGCCCTAGCATTTACTAGATATACGTTTGTCTGGTATATATATAAGACGCTCACAACGTGACAATAATGTGTGTAGGTAGTGAGTAATTGATTTGCAGTCAGAGAGTATTGTTAAAGTTCGTTATAGCGTTTGTTTTAGCGCGAATGTTGAAATCAAGTGTATCGTAAAGTTATATTCAGAAAGAATAAACCAGTTTTATTAAGTAAGGATTTGTGTCGCTAAAGTTTCGTCGGAACGAAGTTACGAAAAGTTAATTAACAAACGGAGACGTAACAATATGTATTTGGAACGTAAGGTTGCAGCCTGCCATTTGCTTACTAGACACAAGGTGGTGTAGCTTAATGATAAAATTTGTTATTCAAATCTCAAAACAATTATATAGGGCCTTAATAATAATAAAAAAAACATTATTAATGACCTAGGCACGTGCCTACTTGGCCTATTGGGTAATCCGGCATTGAAAATTGGATGTTAAGGAATCTGGATCAGAGTTCAGAAATAATATTTGGTTGACATTGCTTGTGCTGATTACCAGTACTACTCGTGTGAGAGGATATTTTCTACGTCACACTGCTTCAGTGGTTACCATTGCGTGCTTGTTTCTGAAATCACGCACTTTACTAGATTTACTGGTCTGTATTCGGACTTTGGAGTAATACTCTTACTTCATCTTTCAGTCACAGTACTTGTAGGTTTGTTAGTAGTAATTGCAATAACACGATGTTGAAACTTTTGTATTGAAAAGTCTGTCAATAATATGGATGTCGTTAGAAAAGTGTGTCTGAGATGGAGACCTAAAAGTTTGTGTTTTCGAAGAACGGGAACTTTTTACAGAGTAACGTTGTGTATTTTTGGATCAGGTATTGAAACGACAGTGTGTACACCTACATCATCATTGTCACGAATCAAAATTAATCCAGGTAGCTACTTTTGCACAAGTTCGTATTTTTGTGCTAGTAACCAAGTCAACAGACGTGGAAAGCTACTTCAAAGGTTCATTAATAGTGCTGGAAATACTAAAAAGTAAGTTTTTGAGAAATAATTTTCTGTCCAGCTCCAGGTGATCTCGAAGTTGTAACAGTAACACCACACTTATATTTTGAAAATTGAATAATATTAATAACAGCAAAATTATTCTGATTCAATTATCACTGTATCACTATCAGATCAGAATGAGTTCTCCAAAACAGAGCATTGATTTATGTAAAGACTTTGCATTTTAGGATATTCAGTACATCAATACATTCAACACAATATATTTCAACACTATCTATTCTCTTGACAACCTTAAACACCTCAATCAGATCCCCCCCCCTAACTCTTCTTTTTTCAGGAGAAAACAATTTGAGAGATTTCAGCCTCTCCTCGTATGACAACCCCTCCATCCCAGGCACCATTCTAGTAACCCTTCACTGAACCCTTTCAAACAATTCAATGTTTTTCCTAAAGTAGGGAGCCCAAGACTGAACACAATATTCCAAATGTGGCTAAACCAGTGACCTGTACAATGAAATTATAACCTTTTTAGACTTGTATTCAATATTTCTGTAGATACAACCTAAAATCTTATTTGCCCTACCACTAGCAACAGCACACTGCTTGGATGGCTTCAGACTGATCAAGTATTACACCAAGATCCCTTTCCTTTATAACTCTGTTAAGGTTATTCCCATTCAAATTATGATAACCCACATACATTATTTTGCACTTATTATAATTAAAACCCATCTGCCATTTATTTGCCCAACTCACTAAATTATCTAAATCCTTTTGTAAATCAGCAGCATCCTCTTCACAGCTAACAACACACAAGACCTTAATGTCATCTGCAAATTTAAGTAATTTATTGACTATTCCTTCATGTATGTCATTTATGTAAATCAAAGAGAGAAAAGTCCCAAGACTGACCCCTGAGGTAGCGCACTTATGACATTAATCCAATTTGACTCAACTCCATTTGTAGCAACCCTCTGCTTTCTCCCATCCAGCCACTCTTCTATCCAATTTGCTAATTTATCCCCCACATCTACAAAGATAATTATTTTTACAAACCTTTTAGGTGGCACCTTGTCAGTTGCTTTCTGAAAATTCAGATACACCAAATCTACACCGTTACCATCATCTACATAAGCAGTAACCTTTTCAAAGACTGTCAAAAGATTTGTAAGGCAAGATTTTCTCTTAGTGAAACCATGTTGACTATTCAATAAAATTTTTAACTTTGTTAAATGACTTTGCAAAGCATCTTTTAACAGACTTCCCTAAACGTTTCCCACAACTGATGTAAGACTAATAGGTCTATAATTACTGGGACACTTTTTATTACCTCCCTTGAAAAAAATGATTTACATTAGCTAACTTCCAATACTCTGATGCCTGCCCACTTTTCAAGGACTGACAAAAGATAGTAGTAAGTGGCTCACATATTCCAATATTTAACCTTCTTAAAAACCTATAGGGAAATATTATCTGGCCCAGGAGCCTTATTGTTTTTTTAAGCTTCCCAATTTTTTTTTTAACCAGCTCAGAATTAATGCAGTTATCTTGTTTGATCTCATTTTCATTTATCAACTGTTCAAGATATAAAATACTGCTTAAATCTTACTATAGTAAAAACCAAAAAAAAAAAACAACTAAATTTAATAACCCAGCCATCTCATAATCAACAGACACTAGCCTTCTTTTATCATCCCTCAAAGGTCCTACCCCCATCCTAACATTTTGTTTACCCTAATGTACTTAAAGAAATCCTTGCTATTAATTTTTACATTTTCAGCCAACCTTTTCTCATACATCCTTTTTGATGTTCTAATTTCCTGTTTCACCCACTTTCTCGATCTTCTATAGTCTTCTAAATCTTCTGTCATACCAGTCAATTTAAATTTCTTAAATTTATGATGCTTTTTTTTAATTTTATCTTAAACTCCTTATGAGCCAACCTGGTTTTTTCACTTGCAGCTATCCTTTTCTTCTTTCTATAAGGAATATGCTTACCTTGAATATTTAAAACTTTATCTCTAAAAATTTTCCACATCTGATTAGTATCTCCAAGTAACTCAGCTGCCCAACTCACAACAGATAATTCTTGTCACATTTCTTCAAAATTTGCCTGTTTGAAACTTGTAACCAAAATATCATTATTCCTTATCTCCATATGCAGCAAAACATCAAACCTAATACAGCAATGATCACTTGCACCCAGATGTTCCCAATTTCCACCCTCTCGATCATTTCTATATTTTAAGTTAACAATAAATCTAAAATAGCATTGTTTCTAATAGTTCCTTGACTAATTGGTGAAGAAAGCCATCTTGAACAGTTTCCAAAAACTTTTCTCCCTCATGGTTTGACTTTAGCATTTCCCAATCTATATGCCTGAAATTAAAATCACACATAATTATGTTTTCATTAACAGCTGAAATCTTAATCTCATTGTAAAGTTTCTCACCAATTTCATCAGTATCATTTGGTGGTTGTAACAAATTCATATTAAAAGCCTTTTCCCCATATAACCACTAATAGCAACCCAAATGGATTCAATCTCCTTGCTATCATTTTTGATATCCTCAACTTCAATAAGATGTAACTCACATTTTACATACAAGGCCATTCCTCCCCCTCTTTAATACTCTATCCCTGTTAAATAGCATGTAACCCTGTATTTCAAAGAAACTGCTGTCATCAAAACATCTATGTTTAACCATGTTTCAGTTATTCCCATCATATCAAAATCCTTCATTCCTACCAATGCTCTAAAGCCATCTATTTTATTTCTTATACTTCTAGCATTACAATAGTAACAATTAAGCCTATCCTTATAACTACTTCTATACTTTTTTTCCTATGCTAAATTTTTCTCTGTCTCCTATTCTTTTTGCATTCAGTGTTTCCTGGTCCTCACCACTGTCTAGTCCTAGTTTAAAACTTCCCTTACAGCTGAGTTAATAGCCTTACCAAACAAGCCAGCCCCTACTCTATTTAAATGTAAACCATCCATTGGAAAAAGCTCTCTTCTTCCACTGAACTGATTCCACAAGTCCAACCAGCCAATCTGCTCATCCTTACATACTAACCTAAGCCTAGCATTTAGCCCTAATGACCAACTTATAATTTCATCCCCACAGTTAATTCTGGGCAGTATCCCTGATAAAATTAACTTATGGCCATTTTCATTAAATTCCTTTATCAACTCCCTGTACTTATTCATCAGCTCCTCTGTCCTACCTTTCCCTACATCATTAGCCCAATACATCTAAGCTGTGGCTATTTTCTTCGTTATTGTATCTACGGGACAGAATATTCTTATTTTTCACCTTTAGAGCTATCTGCAAACTGAATGAAGCTATTGAAGGAGCTTCAAGTTTTCAAGTGAACTGTGACTTATTTTCTTATGTTGAAACCTTTTACAGTAACTTGTGTCATTGTAATCTAATCTGGAATATGTGTATAATGCTGACTTGTATAGCTCAGATAGTGTGTTTTAGTGATTTCATGGTATGTAGTTAATGAATATTTATAGTATTTATATTATTATGCTATGTAAAATTAACTTTCCTTTTTTTTATCTTTTTACACAGGAAAAAACGCTGGTATGATTCCAATGAGCAAAAGGTATGATACCTATTGAATTGGCTTAATTATTGCACTACTAGCTCATTGATGGAAGTTATGTAAATTCATGATTAATGAAAGATTATCTTAGGACATGAAAAGTTGCTTGCCTTATATGTAATTGTAAATAATGCAAAAATGCCCATAAAAACTGCAAAACACAAAATGTGAAACTATAATTTTGTATGTATCTCCTCATGGACCCAACAAACCTTCATGCCAAATTTGGTGATGCTTCATCTACAGGGGTCAAAGTAGTGGTAAAAAACAGAAAACCGGCCATTATAATAAGTAATCTATGCACTTGTATTTGTTTTCAAATTTTGTTAGGCAAAATGAAAAGGTAACACTTAACAAAGCATTTTCAGTGAAAAAGCTGATAAATGAAAAGATGCACTTGTACTTGAATACAGTTCCTCTAACATTGAGCTATCCAAGAATACAAGCCATCCCTGTCAATGTTCATTTACAAAGCTTCTTACTATGAGACAAAGTATTCATCCAGACATGTATATACTTGTTTTGCAAATTGTTCTGCATGCAGTATAATTTTTTTTAATTTGTAAAAACTGAGACCAAATAGGCTTTTGAAATGAGTTTATTTATTTTCAAATTACACAAGTCCCACTCTTTACTGCAGCTATTTACTGGATATTATTACAACTTAATAAATTATGCTAAGTTCCATCATAATGAACCGATTAACCAAAAACTGAGGCTTGCACTATTTGATATCTTCTGACACTTACTTGGATGAGCAAACAACTGTAAAAAACAGAAGCAGATGTTTTGTAACAGTTTTTTCTTCTCTAGAAAATTACAACAAATACAAATGTGGATGTGTCACTGTAGAATTCTTTATTTGTGGAGTATGGGCAAGTATATTTAGTGGTATGACAGATTTCTTGGTATATATTTTGTAAAGTGTTCTGTCATTCTTATAATTACTGAAAGTTGTATGTGTGTGTATTACTTGTAATAAACATATAATATTATATTTTTAGGGAGCACTATTCATGCTGCATGTAGCCATTCAACAAAGAAAAGTATATATCTGCAGTATTGATAAGAGAATAATTACTTAAACTTTATAGTATAGTGATGAGGTTACATTACATAACAAATCAAAGAAGGCATTAGTATCGAACCTGATACATTGTCTCATTGTAGAAACAGGCTGGAACAGTATGCTAAAGCCAAAACTTTACAGTTACAAGTACTGTATAATCACATTTCATAAGTTTATTAACAGTCAACATTGTTTGATGTAATAAGAAGCAATCATTAAACACACATATGCAAGTTTTTTCTGGCACTAGAAGCTTTAAATGTTCTATTAAGGAAATATTTCAACATATAAAAGCTTTTATGTTCATCAAAAGCAGCAAAATATTTTCCATTAAACATTATTATAAAAATAATGCTTGGAGATGGCTTGAATGGGTAATGAAGAAAAACTTTAATATAAGTTTAACATAACAGCAAATGTACAACTTTTCAACAAGGTTTTCTCATCATCTTATATTAAAGTTTTTCTTCATTACCCATTCAAGCCGTCTTCAAGCATTATTAGTCTCAAAGTGGGTTCCTCGTCATTGAATTATTATACAAATTTTTACTGTTAAGATATATGATATTTTTGTATTAACATTTGAGGTTTTACTAACTTGTTTACATTTATTAACACACAGTAGGTATCTAGCTATTTTATTAACAAAAACATAAATATATTGTATGTTTATCAATGGCATCCTACAATTACCCAATGTTAATGCAGTATTGCTAGGTTAGAGGGAAGAGTTGACTTTTGGAGCAAGTGTTTAAAACGACAATAGAACTTATATTTAGAACAATTCATTAATACTAAAGATAATAGAGCTGAAAACGGATATTTTCTTAAACAAAGAGTGAGCTGAAATTCATAAATATTTATTTTAGACATTCAGGAATGGAAAAAAAAAATCCTTGTAAATTTCCAGTGTGGAAAACAGATTTAAATAAGTGCAAGTATACCTTGCCATCAAATACTTGCCTACTTTATGCTCTGGTTGTAAGTCACATATCACCTACTGAATACTTTATTTGGTTTTCAGTTACCATGTGTTTTAAAATCATAATACAAAATGCTAAAAGTATAAGTAGCTTAAAGAAAAAGCACATCTAGAATTTTCCAAGACTAGTTAATTTTTTTTCCATTGAATTTATGGTACTGGCTAGGAAAAAGCACTTGTGCAGCTGTGTTTCTTCTGAAAGAGTAAGCAGTAGCAATAGACCTTCAATTTCAACTGTCTAACTGATTTAAAGTTGCATCATAGCAGGTATGACAAAGAGACCAAAGGTAAATTCTGATGTAGAAGCAAATATGTTGAGGTGCAAATTAAGTAGTATTTCTAATGGAGACTGAAAAGGGATACGCTTGAAGAAATTCAGACATTGCGAAAGACTATGAAACAACTAAGTGAAAAGTGTTGCACAACTTTTATTTTTTTTTAGCTATAACCACACGTAGTATTTGATGTACAAGAACTACAAAGTCATTTCTTCAGAATGTTGAATGAAATCATAATCTAAACTCGACAAAACACTGAGACTATCACAAACTGGAATTCTGACTAACCTAATGTTTTGACTAGACTAGTAACTCCTGAATGGATTAACACCTTAAACCTGAGTGGAAGCTTTCAGCATCTGGCCAAAAATCCTGTTTTACCCATCAGACAGTGACAGCATCTGTTATTATCCACAAAATTAGGAAAATTGAAATTTTATAAGATATGGTGATAATTATTAGGAAATCATGAAAATAATTCCATCAGAACGTGCAAAAGATTATGGGTGTAAAGAGTTAAACCTGTCGGGTTACTGTTTTTCTAAACATTTTTTCACCTATATTAGAAAGTTTTTGTGATATACCTAAGAATTTTAAAAAACATTATTCATTTGTTATATATTTTTTTTTAATATGTGATTGTAATTTTTTAACCAACTATTGAAGATTATATAGGTACTAAGAGCAATATATCTGCAAGACTGTTTTCCACTTCATAACTACTAATCAATCTTGGTTTCATAAGCAGAGTAGAGGTGATGGCTCTCTAACATGGAACACCAAGCCAGCAAACAATCAACGAATGAATGTATTCAATGCAATTTTAATGGAAGCAATCACAGATATCATGTCCACTGGAGAAATCAATAACAAGCTTCATGGTCATGGAATTGAAGTTCTTGGAGTAAGTGAAATATTGTATGTCATGTAGGAGTTAAACATGAAACTAGACAGACTAGTGAAAAGCTTCATAATCATGAAATTGAAGCTCTCAGAGTAACTCTTGTACATGTCGGGTAGGAGTGGAGCTAAAAAAAGCTAGACAGATGAGTAAAAAGCTTTATGGTGGAATCTATGCTTTGACAGGTAAAGCCTTTATTATACCAATTCCTTTTTCACTCTATTTTTTATCATTATATGAAAGTTGATAACTAAAAGTTCATCTAGAACAGTTTCTTGAATTAGAAATATCAGAAAAACACTTGTGTTAAATACTTGGTATGTTGGAAGTAGGCACATGTACAGCTATACAGTTTTCAGAGGGATGCCTTTCCCCACCCCCAGTTTCTGAACATCTTTGAATATGTACCTCCACTCCTCTGATATCTTGCCCATCATACATAATATTTCTTGTAAATGAATGTTTATTTCTGTAAAATGTGGGAAACTACAATTACAGTTGTCTTCAGTTTTATTTATCTCCTACCCTATATAATGTGCATGCATTAAACAAATTCACAGAACTTCTAATCATATCAAAAATGCCTATGAGCAAAAAAAAGAAAGTCTTTCTTGAGCTAAAATCAAAAATAAAAGGAAACTTGCATTCTTTTCTTATGTATTTACTGTTTTCAGTCAAATTCTCTTCAATCCTAACTAAAGTACTGATGTATACAACACACCATAAGTTAAAACCAAGACCACATCAACTCTTGTAGATTCAGCTGTAATTTTCATGCATGATAGCTACATTATGCTAATTTTGGATGCTAGCAAAATAATGATATGATCTAAACTATTAATTGTATGAAATTAGTACATGCTTTATTTCGTTTAGGTAAAGGTGTCTCCAGATTTAGGTAATATTATTGTATATTGGACATCTTCAACCCCCAACTTGGCAACAGCTGAAGAACTACTGAACTCTAATGCTGGAAAGATCAGGTAAATGTGATATTTTTATCCAGTTTTCGTGAGTTGTTTTTCTTTCTCTCACTTATTCAACAAAACACTAAAAATAACATAATTAGGGGTGAATATTTTACTGTATGATGTCACTCATTATGTATTATTATACATGATTACTCGTTGTCAAGCTTAATCTATTATATAACATTACATGGCATGATGAATCTATTGAGTGAGTTAATTTCAGTTCTAAGGACTTGATTCAAAGTAGTAATCTGCTGTCTGAACAGTTTGATTTAATTTCAAGACCTAGCATATTTTATAAAACCAGCTCGGGAGATTAACGATGCATTACCATTATACCAGACTTAGGTAACTGATGGCCTCCAGGTCCATTTTATCTGTCTACCAGTACTTCAACAAATTTATAATTAATATCAAACAGTGAAAATCTGTATTCACCTAAAATGTGATAATAAAAACAGTCAACTTTATGTGAAAACATAATTAAATGTCCCACATGTGTTGCTAGGTTGAGTTTTATGGCACAAAACAAAAGTGAAAATACATACCTACCCTATCTTGAGACAGGGCATACTTAGTTTGTACTCCTGTTTTTGTTGCTCAAGTGATTTTTAAAATAACGTTTTATAGACTGATGTTCATTTTATTTAATTATACTCGTAGTGATATAACATGAATTTTTGATGATGCAGCTCACACTGATTTTTTTTTTTTTGTAATGTACCAAAATCATTTAGTTGCACCCAGTGCCATATAGTGACCACACAGTGCAATTTGAATTTTACCAAATATTTGTAACATTACAAAAGTTGATTTCTAATATATTTTTGATAAGTGTGTACAAACCTGCCTCCATAGGGAGAGCCTTTATAATTACAAAATATGATAGAGTAGTGACCTTATTCTTATCCTTTAACTAATACAGTCTTTGATTTGCTTGTACTCATAGTATAATGGATTACTTCAAAAAATATCTCTTTAAAACATTTAGGATCACAACACCTCTTAATACAAATATATTATCAACAAACACTAATAAGTTAACCTTTATGCCACTAGTTATTGAAAATCTTGTCATGATTTTTGGTTCAACAAATTAATTAGTCGTATATATGTTAGCTGTTCTTATTCAAGATTTTATTTTAAATGTTTTTGTTATGTATATCTAGTTTTATAGCATACTAACTGGAGTACCCATCCATTGGATGGGTGAAATAAAAACTCCTTTGTTAAAAGAGATACAAAATTATGCTTCTATTTTTTTTTCTTAACATATAAACATTAAAAGTGCCATATAATACATAAAGATACCAATACTGAAAAGAATGGCATACTGTTTTCAAGAATTCTATCAATATGAAATTATATGGGGATCAACTCACTCCCCCCATCTCATGTCATCCTATATCACTGTCAAGTTGTGCTGATTTGGTAGTTGTTCCAAAATTAGATTGAGATACACCACCTCACCCCCATGACCTTCCTCATGTCTGCCTGCATCAATGTGTCAGGTTTGGTTGGTGCTAATTGATCAAGAAATGTGAAAACATATAAGAAACAGATACACACACAAATTGATGTTTATTTATACAGAAGCCATCATTTATCAGTTTATACAAATGGCAATTTGTGAAGATAGAGCTGTGGTATTCTCAGGTGAACCAATTTCTGAACAAACATCAGATAAGTTAAATCTGCTAGTAACATCAGGGTCAACCAGGAAATTTAAGGAATAGTTTGAATCTGAAAACTTGACTTAGTTTTCTTGTTTGTGAAATAATCAGAATGGACAAGTTTTGAATAAAACAAAGACAATCTTTATTATGAAAGAAAAGTAAAATGCATTGTATACACTTGCATAGACAGAACCACAGTTGATTAGTCCCACAGCTTTCACTTTCCATAGGAATGATTTCTGATTCCCACAGAACTAAAACATGATCTCATATATGTTCTTCACTCTACTATCTCCAAGTAGAACTGAACCAAGAAAGCATGCTTGAATTCAGTAGGTAAACAGAGTTTATTTGTCCAGTTGACACCATCACCTTGTAACCCCTTGTTCTCCCACAGCATTGTTCAGCTGTAACATACAGACATTGTCAATTCAGCCAGTGATTCTTTCAACATGAATGCTCTATGTTATTGCCATACCTCTCAGGTAGAATAGGCATTATTTACTGTAGAGAACAAAGTAAAAAAGGAATTAGAACAAGGCAACTTCAACAGTTTTCTGAACCACTTGATTATGCCAAAACTGCATAGAAACTAAATAAACTAAAAAGTTTATAAATTCTTATATGACTCAAGGCAGGCAAAAAACATATGCCTGCATATCACAGAATCAAATATGGTTAAATCCATAAAAGCTGCATTTAGTAAACATTTTTTAATTTCATGTACATCTGCATGAACTCCTTAAAAACAAAATTTTTGATCTGTTACACTGTCATTTTTAAATCCTGTTTGCTGTTTTAAAAGTTGTATATTTCTTTCTGACCAATTGTTTAGGTTATCCATCATTTTAGGGAATAACTACCAATTGTGTTAACAAAGAAATTTCTTGATATTTATTAACCATACCTAAACCATCTTTTTTTTGAATTGAAAACAAGTGATAAAATCACCTCAGTTGTATGGAAATCCCCAAACTCTTAATATATAAGAAATGTTATAGCCAACGATAATACCTTAGGGATGAGAAATTTCTGCCAACTGGTAGATTTTCAACCCTTTAATGTTGCCCAGGGTTGTTCATGAGATTCACAATAACCTGGTGGAAAAGTTGGAGGGGGGGCTAATAGTTTATTGCCTATTTTGCTATTCCATTAACATATATAAAGTTAAACATTTTAAACATAACATCAAATGATAATTTCCAGACCTTACTTATTTTTATTTTATAAATATGAAACTGTTTAATAATAAACAATGAAATAGGTATTATGTTGCTTTTAATTGTTATTATTGTGCAATGTTTTCTTGTAGATTTTGTACAAATCTTGTGCAAGGAAGTTTATACTAGATTCTTACAGTGCACTTCAAAAACAGTTATATTTTTTGAGCAATGTTCTTTGTTTCTTTTAGGGGAGAATTAGCAAGTTTATCCATCTTGACAAGTATACCACGCATCACATTTGTTAAAGATTTAACTTCTACTAAAATATTAGAAGTTCAAAACTTATTAGCTGAGGCAGACTTTGGGCCAGATTTCCAACCTACAAGTTTGATACATCCTTTCAAGTTGGATGCTGTTTCAAAGAAGCAGCCAGCTTTTGTAAGTTAGTTACTTAGTCTTTAGTGTCTATTGTTATGAACTGGGCCTTAAACTGGAAGCATTTGGGATATACAGGTGAATATTTAATGATTATATTCTGTAATACTGACAATATGCTGTAGTTTTGTAGTGTTTTAAACAAGCAAGCAGTTTATGTAAATTAAGTGTTTAGTCTTTAGTGTCTATTGTTATACACTGGGATTTCAGTAGAACCTTTTGGGACAGACAAATGGCTCACAGACTAATCTTGAACTAAGAACTTAGTAGTTCTAGTTCTGTTTAGTCTGAATTGAGGCATAACTTGTTTACATGAAAACAAATATTTTATGATAGTTTAATTGATGGCTTGAACAATATAAGCTGAAACAATTAAATAAATTTGAAATAGTAACTTAATTCACTAACTACTTTTACTGACTATCTTGGCATTTCTTAACCCTTTCCCTGATGTTTTTCACTTGTGTAATCTTAGCCTTTTTTTTCAATATTTTTTGGAACATTTTCTTTACCTTATCCTAGGCTTAACATTGTTCTTCCAAAAAAATCCTGAATGGTTATTTCAAAACTACAAAAATGCAGCATATGTGTCGGACTTCTATTGCAAGAAATAATCATCAAGTACTTGTATTACAGAAAAACACTATATTTTAAAACTTGTGAAAGTGTGTCAACAGTAACATGATTTAATGAAGTCGTAATTTTATAGTTCACTGTTATAGCTAATTCTTCTTGATTATTGTTTTTTACAAAAGTTGGAGGAATAAAATGTTAGACTGGTGGTATTTCAGGTTAGATATATATAGTATATAGTTTTTATTATGGAAAATGTTTTAGAAATTTATTTTTATTTTTTAGCAAAACACTAATGAATATTTTCATTTATCTCAATCCACTGATCCGGTGGTGCCACAGAGTAGCGGAAGTGATAAAACTCTCTACCAAGAACCGAAGGCCTCTGATACACAGCTTCCTTGGGCACCACCAGAGATGAAGCACAATATTTTTGGGCTTGACCATAAAGCCCTCATGAACCAAGTTGCCCAGAAAGTAGCAAAAACTAGAAGTAAGGATCAAAGGAGTTCCTTTGCTAGTTTAGACACAAAGCCTGTTCAACAGGACCAATGGCATCTTGATGACAAATCTTTTTTTAAAGGTTTTGATTTTCAAGTGGACAGTGGTGTAGTTAAAAATAACTTTACTTTAGAAACTGATTTCGAGAATTTTTCCAATGTTCTTCCAACACCAAAAAAGTACAAAAAAGAAAAAAGACTTCCCAAAATGAACAACAAGATTTGCTTACAGAGGATTTGCTGAGAGATGCTTCTAACAGCAATAGACAAATTGATCTGGAAGAAGAGGATTACTTTGAAGAAGAAGAAGTGTGGACTGATCATTATAAAGAACATGATACTGGAAGAAATAATAAAAACAATGAGTAATTCATATTATTATACTTGAAAGAATTTGTCAATTACTAGAATAAAACACATAGAGAAGTTTTCACTTATAAACTGGGCTATTCTTTAAAAATTGTTATTTTGTTAGGGTGCTGTATGCACAGCATTAGGTTATTTATAGAAATGGCACAATAAGAGCAGCATTTTAATATAATTATAAATATGAAAATCAAATTACTAATTCCTCTTCCAAACAACTTTGATCCTGAAACAATTTGTTTAAATAAAGATTATAAAATGAGCTAGAAACAACTTAAAAAAACACCAAAAACGTTCTTATATAAATAACTTTAATTGCACCTGAAACACCAGAGAATTGTATTGAGTTTTTTTGCATTATTCAAGTGATGCAAGTACCACAATTTTTCCTGAAAAAACCAAAAACAATAACCAGTTGTTACACTTCCAAAATTTCACACCTGTTCTTTTGTTAAATGCAATATATGTACTGTCCCTTAGTTAACGCCCCCCCCCCCCCCCACGTGGCACAGCAGTATGTCTGCGGACTTACAACTTTAGAAACCGGGTTTCGATACCCGTGGTGGGCAGAGCACAGATAGCCCATTGTGTAGCTTTGTACTTAACTTCAAACAAACCTTTAGTTAAGTGCAATATGTATGTCTATATCAAACTTTTGTTAGTGGGAGGTCTAAAATAGACCTATAATTACAGCCAAACTGACAAAAATGCATGCACTAAAAATATTTATTAGCTATTTGAGTTTTGCTTTTGCATGTACCAGTTTGAGAAATGTTTTCCATCAAGTTACTCGAATTCAAGATTCATTCTTTGTGTAGTGAGTAAGGTGCATGTGCACTTAAAAGTGGTATTTCTAATCATGTAATTGTGACAGAAGTATTCATTGTACAAATATATGTTCAAATCATTATTTCAGTGAGTATATTAGTAGGATAGAATATGGTTAGTTTCTTTGTTTCCGATTTACTAATTACAATTGAGAAATTCTGTTCCTAAAAATAGCAAATCCTAATTGTATTTTAGTATTTACCACAATAAAAATTCTATAATTTTCCTAATATTTTCATCATTACAAAAAACTTGATACTGGTAAAAAAAAATAGTCTAGTTTGCTAGGAATGTTACTAGATCAAAAAATTCTGGTTGATGAGGAACTCTTCAGCTATTTGATACTGAATGATAATAGTTATTAATCCTTCACTAAAAACGTGAGTGAAGCTGTTACACAGTTTAAGAATGTAAAATAATATTGTTAAAGAATTGAATTAATCTCAGTCAGTGTGCAATGGTAATGGTATATTCTCAAGCTCAGGATAGTAAGAAACATAATACAGAGTAAAATAATCAGAGATAACAATAGAATGGAAGAATATTAAAACCATAGTAATGTTCCTATGAATTATCAGTTAGTTTTGTAGAGAAATAGATTTACTGGGACTTGTAGAGTACTATATATTTCTGTAGACTGAAGAGTATGAAACAGAATTTATTATTGACAAGTTTTAAAACTTATGGAATTGTGTATGGAAAACGTTTTCTTAAAGTGATTTATTGAGATATAACAACATTAACTTTATAATTGTGAAAAAACTGTTAAGAAAATAAGAAACTGCTTTGCACACAAAGAATCTAAACATCTTGTGGTTATTGAGGTTGGTATTGTTCAATAGAATTCAGCAAACAGATAGAATGAACAATTAAACGAAAAACGAAAACTGTTTAAACGAAAAAAAAGAAATTTGAACGAGACTGTCATAATCTCTGTGCCTTTTAGTTAATGATTTTATAGTTTAATCTTGCAGAACTTGAAAGTCTTACCAGAGCACAATCAGAACACAGAATCAAAGTTTGTTCTCTTGCTCATCAGAATAAGAGGTTCGAAGGTGCACATATGGGTCTATTCAGCTACCCTGTTTGTTAGTCTTGCAGTTCCCAAGATATCAAGAAAGATGAAAAAAACTAAGCATTAGCTTCAAACCTCAACTTGGCATGGTCTGGTGGTTAGGGTGCTGGACTCGTAATCAGCAAGTTTTGGATTCAAGACCCGGTGCCAAACATTTTCGCTCTTTCAGCCATGGGCAGGCCCACCTAGAAGGAGGAGAAGCTATGGATATTTTTCCAAGGCCCACTGCTCACCAGGGACCCAAGAGGGTGGCAAGAAAGTGGTATGAACTCTATCAAATCAGTATGGAATGCTTTAATCATCATTCAAAAACTGTTTTGGGTCCATGATGACTCTTAAATGGTTGGTCATGATGGTGTTTTAATGTGCAGTCAATTCCACTATTCATTGGTAAAGAGCTTGCAGTGGGTTCTGCCAGCTGTTTGTTTTCCCTGTGGTCAGCTGTTCAACATTAGGGATAGCCTTTTTAGCCTTGCTATAAACCCACAAGAAAACACTCGTACCATGAAGTTGACATGGCAACAATCTGTTAAGTCTGTGGGACATCACAAAAACATCCGTCATCCCCCGCAAGTAATCAATCACACATGGATAAAATTTATCAAAATGTTACTGTTAAAGTATCATGTACCACCTGAATCTATGAAATGATGATAGTGAAAGATGTAGAAATAATAGAAAACGTTAGAAAGCATTGCCCAAGTTAGAATGGTCCTGTAAATTAGATTATTGGGAAGAATCTAAACAAGATAATTATAGAAAACGTTTAAAAACACTGCTTACTATATAATGGTCCTGTAAATTCGATCATTGGACGTGTTATGAATTTAGTGTTCCTATTTTTTATATTTTTAAAACGACATCAACAATCCAAAATTACTTCGAACTTTATGCAAGCCTAGAGAGTTTTGTTTTTCACAATAACCGCTATGAATTCTTACCTCCGTGTTTCCACTATTCACTCTTGGAGATCAAGTACATGCGAAGAAATACAAATACCATGGCTTTCGTAGTTAAACATTGAATAAATTATTTTATTTGTTTTGTGTTCTCTATTGCGCAAGTGTTGTTAGGATGCCTAAATTGTAAGTTACAACCTGGAGAAATAACATCATGTATAAACATTGCTACAATTATTTAAATGTAAAGCCAAGTTTCATTTCTGTAGAAAACTAATGCATTTGATGTTGATGTAGAATTTACAAATTGGTGCAAATATATTCTGAAAAAAATCGCTATTAATAATGTGAAATTTACTAATTATTTAAGTTTTATTGACATGGGTTTTTAGATATGCATATTATATATCCACTGTTTCATAACTTTTATAAGAGAAATAATGTGCATTTCAAAGTGGAATTTGTAAGAATCGTTAACTGTTATCTCGGAAACTTAACCTAAGCACGATCATGCACCTTTGCTAACTCTGTATTTTCTGCAAACAATAATCTTGAGCTTGGAAGTTGCTCAAAGTAGATGAAATGTGCTTGTGGATCTTCTTCACAATTTAATTGTTCATTAATTCGTGCATCTGTTTCAGTTCTTCAGAAGAGGTTCCATTCATGTCTCTGCTTTATTATACGACCAACCTTACACCATACATCTTACACAAAATTAAATCGTATTTTCATATCTAAAATATTCAATGCTGATGCAAGCATCAAATTAGAAAAAACAAAAAACTGTTTCTTCGACAAATCATAATCATCTTTGTCTCGGTGCAAATTTTGGTTACCAATATTTGGAAATAATATTTTGTTTGCCTTCTATAATTGTATATCGAAGTATAAGGCACCTATACGGAGAAGGATTAATTAAGTAAGCGTTACCTCCAAAAACCTACAGTATTTTTCCTGTTGTTGTATCTGTCGTACAGACTTTCTTAACACATACCTAGTTTTAAATGAACTAGGTGAATCAATAATCCCAACCCACGCACACACGACTCTACGTGTTATAGACCAAATTATGTGTGATGTCACAGTGCTACGAGATCAAGAGTTTTTAAAGAGATGAATACAGTGTGAATAAATCATATTCGAAAAGAAAATGAGACTGGGCACAATTGATTCCCTTTGAAACAAAATGTACGTAAATAAAAGCACGTGGCTGAGTATTCTTAAACTTCTAGCCTGCTTCTCAAGCGTAATTTAAGCGATATCTGGGTGACCTACAAATAAAACTCGCCAGGATGAAAACGGTGGCGATTTTAAGAATGAGCTTTAATTAGGTCTATCTATATTTAAGTCTATAAGACTTCCCAAAATGCCATGCCACGCACGTAAGATCTTATATAAGCACTAACAACTTGACATTTCTGTTAAGCATAAAATGTTATGCTTTAACAACAAAAGCCATTAATTTAGAAAACTTGTGTTTTGCCAAGCCATTTACAACATCTGAGGAATGTAAAAAAAAAAAAAGATACTTAATAGTTTCTTGTAACCCAATATGGTAACAACTCGCATGAAAACTAGCTTTGTGTCTTATCACGCACTAAATGGGAACACACAAACTGTCTTTAACCAAGATATATATTACTAACATATTGAAGAAAATTTACTAAAAAGGAATCGGGGATTTACGTTTATAAGGGGCAATATTTGATTCCATTTGTTTTATAAATCAGTGTGCTTTAAAATTGTTAAGTATGCAAGGAATTTAACATCGAACTTGCTTAAAATTGTACTGATACTGATGTACCGTTACCTTGCTTCAACTGCAATAGGTAATTGTATAGCTTAGTTTATCTTATGCTTATATAATTTGACAAATTTACGTCTATCACTTACAATATTTACGAATATAATAATATTTGTTTAACTATTCAGTTATCTTTATCGGATTTCATTATAACAAGCTCAGTGTGTTCTTATAAGAAATATGAGTTAACATTGTTTGGAGAAATGTCTCTCCTCTATGGCTGAGTGCGTCTTAGTGTTCCAGGCTGCGAATTTAAATGCCAAAGGTTCGATTCGCGATATGATGCTAAGTTCATTTATATATGAGGGAGAAGAGCTATAAATGTGACAATTCCAATATTTAATAAAGAGTAACTACACAGGGCGTAGGTGCTATTGGCTGGTTTCAATCCCTCTCTCGGCATATTTAAAT